CTAGATTGTGACACCCATTAACAAGGGTTCCGAGTTCTGTTTGGAGATGTTGCCAAGGAAGTGAGCTCATGTCTTGGGAGTTCCATAACCTGAGTCTCCATGTAACAGAAAAGCCTATAGCCCTGTAGGGATAGAGACCCCCTAGGAAGGGAGAGATGAGCCCCTCCCCAAAGGAGTTCAGCCAGCTGGCAGAACAGGCTTAGCCATCCATAAAAAGCTGACAGTCTGCTGAGGCTGCACCTCCTCTTCAAGCTGTACCCTGCAAAGCTTGGTTTGCTAAGATCAAAAGGAAAAAGAACCTTGGCCCTAAGATGTAAATAGCCCCTGAAAAGACCCTTCCCTGTTATCCCTAGTAATAAGCTAAGTTAATCATTAACCAATCAAGTAGGGGCACCCTCAGCCCAGAGGCAGAATAGGCCTCAACTACTAGAACACCAGCATCTTGGGCCCCCCTGCAATGGTGGCTCTGTTTCAGGCACCCCTAACCTGTCTCTCCTCTGCGAGAAGGCAGCTGTACTCTTGCATCCTTGGTGAATAAAAGTACAACTGTGCTTTTACACTTTCGGTCTCTGATTCTTCCACAACCTTCTGCGTCATTGGGAGAGTGAGGCTTGGGACTGTGTGGACTCTTCCCCCGTCTCTGCCTGTGACAGCCATTTTTTCTTCATACTAAATAAATCAGTGGCCACTTATTTTGTTATTTTTATCTAAGTATCTATGAAATTTTTTTCTATTTCTCATGTTAGTTTTTCACTTTTGCATTACTGGGACTTGTACTCTGCATCTCCTCAATGAACTATATCCTCAGGAATTTTACTTCACATACCCACTAAGGGTCTCACTAACTCACCAAATTGGTCTGGCTGGACTCCCCCATGTGACCTTCTTATCTCAGCTGTCCAGAGTGCTGAGACTGCAGTCACATACCATCCTGCCTGATTTAGTGTGCAACTACAGTAGCCTGGTGTGCCTTTATTGCAGAGATTTTCTTCACTTTTCCAATGGGCTTCCCTTTTCATCAAGGAGCCTGAGAGAAGTCCTCTTTCTGTTGTTCACTTCTGCTCTATCTTCTGGAGCTCAGAATAATGTCCTTTATGACCCCCTATGACTCTGTGCTCTGGATCCAAATACTGTCTCAGTGCAGCCACTGGGGTGGGGTAGAGAGTGGTGCTGCTGGCACCCGCGCAGCTCACCTCCTTGGCACGGGGGGTGGGGATGGGGGGGCTCTGCTCTTCCAGTTTTTTGCTGTTTTGCATTGTGAAGTGCATCTGAGGATTTTATGTGGCTATGGTGTCCCTGGGCCTACTCTAGAAAGTTGCATAGCAAAATTTCTTCTACCCAAGGGTCAACCTGATAGCAGCAACGTTGAGCTATTGAAATCTTTATTTCAGGATCTGCAAAGAGGTGAACCTGAAGAAGACAGCTTGTACAGGACAGTCCCCTTTGGAGCACCACTTGTTTACTCTTCATGACTGTGCAGCCGGCTGGGAGCAGGGGCGTTTATCAGGAAGAGAGTATCAGCTCATGTGTTGCCAGCAAATTGTTAAATGCTTCCAGATGTGGTGGAGGATGCTTGTAATCCCAGCACCAGGAGACTGAGGATATGCATTTGAAGTCAGCCTCAGCTACATACTGTGTTCAAGGCTAGCCTGAACTACATAGCAAGCTCCTGTAAACAGGGCTGGTGTGGCTTCCGCACCTCCATCACAGTGGTTCTCTGATGTCCAAGAGGAGGCAGCACAGCTCCTTGTCCTCCCCTCACTACCAGATCCTGATGTCATCACAGAAATCAGCATCCTGGTTCAATTATCACTGCATAACGAACCATCTCAGAATATAAAGACTTCAAATATCTTCAATATTAGGGACCATGAGTCTGGTTGCATCGTAGTTTCATCAGCTGACCCTGCCTGCATCATTCTTGAAGCAACATTCCATTAATGGACATTCTCAGTAGCATCCCTTGAAAGAATATCTACAAGACACTGATGGATACCATTGCTGCTGTGCATGATGAGAGGCGCAAAGCTTTCTTGCTGAGATCAGAAATATGGCAAAGATTTCTCTTCTCACAAGTTTTCTTCAATATCACAGCAGAAGTTGTAGCTGTGCCTCAGAGCCGAGCCCAGTGGCCGATGGACACTGAGGCCTGAGCACCTGTGTGTGGTGGCAGGAGCACCATGGACTCCCACTGTAGCCGGTGTGTTTGTAAGGGGGCCGGTACCTTTTGGTGTGTGGCTGGCATTCGTTGACCCCCTCTCAGCCATGACTCCAGTCCAGGGTGACTGTGTGGTTGGGCAGCGTGTCCGGGGGCAGGACCTGCGTGAGCTCCAGGCTGCTGCACACCACCTTGGCCTCGGCGGGTACCTCCACCCTGTCGCCACCCCCTCCCCCTGCTTGCAGCCCGGGGGGCAGCGCCGTGACCTCGTCACCGCCGCCTCCTCCTCCCAGCAAGGCCAGCAGCAAGGCGCAGGAGAGCGCAGAAGGAGGGGCAGTGGTGGCGCGCGGCCCCGGGGTCACCCGGAATGCTCCATGCTGCGGGCTGGGCCTGCGGGCCGTGCGGGGTGCGCCGGCCTAGCGGGCAGCCTGGGTGAGCGGGGACTCCGGGTCTGCAGCCGCCGTGCTTGGCCTCAGCAAGCCATGGGGTCACGGCCACTGGGTCTCAGTGCCACTGCACAGCCCTGAAAGAATGTTTTAATTGTGGACAATATAACTGTCTATGTAGAAATCCAAAAGAAAAAGACATAAAAATAATCCTGAAATAAGCCATTCCAACAAGGTTGATATATATGAGTCAATTATTTCTAATATACATACAAGCAATGAACCAACTAGAGTTTGAAAACTGGAAACATAATACTCTTATATTACCGCCAATCCCCAAACCAAAACAAATAGAGAATTTTACACACACACACACACACACACACACACACACACACATATATCTAAGAAAACTGATGAATGAAACAAAAGAAGAGTTAAATAAATGACAGAGGATAGCCCTTGTTTGTGGACAGAAAAACAGTATTAAGAGGTCAAGTTCAATCAAAATGTCAGCAAGTTATTTTGTGGGTATCAACAAGCTGACTCTAAAGCTTAGATAGGCAAAAGACGTAAATCAACAGAACAGAACAGAGAGCACACACACTAGCTGGGCATGCTAGTGTACTCAGTAGGCTGAGGTCAGTTTGAGGCAGCCTGGGCTAGACACTTGATTTTAAGCCTAGTATGCACTATAACAATAACAACAGACCCATACAGATAGATCTTTTACTATGAGGCAAAGATATTTCAATGGAGCTACCTGATAGTCTTTAAACAATGACAACAGTGCTAGGACTACTATACAAAAAAAAAACAAAAAAAAAACCCAAAAAAACCCCCCACCAAAACAAAACAACAACAACAACAAAAACACCTAGACAAAGACCTTATAGTCTTCAAAATATTAACTCAAAACCAATAATACCTAGGGCTGGGGATTTAGCTCAGTGGTTCCGCCACCTGCCTCTCATGCACAAGGACTCGAGTTCAATCCCCAGTACCAAAAAACCCCCCATAATACCTAAATATAAAATGGGAAAACATAAACTCCTATAAGAGAACACAGGAGAAAATAATCTAGGATTTGGCAAGATATAATACCAAAGTATGACGGGAAGAACTGGTAAGTTAAGACTATGCTAAAAGTAAAACTTCCTTTTCTTTCTTTCTTTCTTTCTTTTTTTTGGGGGGGTACCGGGGATCAAACTAGGGTCCTTGAGCTTGCGCAGCAGGCGGTGAAACCACTGAGCTAAATCCACGGGCCAAAAAGTAAAACTTCCTTCCAGGAAGGAAGCCACAGATTGGGAGAAAATATAGGCAAAAGACACATGCCAAAGAACTGCTACCCAAAATATACAAAGAGCTCCTAAAACTCAGTAAGAAAACAAAAGCTCAATAACCAAGGAAATGACCTGAACAACTTGCTAAAAAAGATGCACAGGTGGCAAGTGAGCATATGAAAGGATACTCAACATCATATGTCACTAAAGAATTGTAAGCTAGATAAGACACCACTACATACTTCTAAAAGCAGAAAAAATTCAAAACCTTGACTGCTAGATAGGTATGAAGAACCCCTACTCCCTTTTATGCTGGTGGAAATGCAAAGCGTTAGTCACTTTGGAGGGCAGTTTGGTAGCTTCTCACAAAATTAAATCAATGTCCTTGGTATTTATCCTAATGAGTTTAAATGTGTGCACTAAAAACTTTACATGGATGTTTATAGAAGCTTTATTTATAATTGCTACGGCTTGGAAGGAATCAAGATGTCCCTCAAACAAACTGTGGTGTAACTACATAAGAGGATGTTATTCAGCACTAAATGTAAGTGGGCCATAAGGGGAAAGGGAAGGGAAAGGAAAAATTATGAGAAAAGTAAAAAAAAAAAGGAAACGAAATCTATGTAAATAGGGAAGGGTGGAGGGGGTGAAGGGCGCAAAGGTAATGGGGAAAAAAAAATAAGAACTAAGATACATCATGTACAGGTACAAGCACCCAATGATAAATGCAAACGTACTGTATACCTAAAATGTACCAATAAAAGAATTAAAAAAAAAAAAAAAGACAGAGAAATCTTAAACCCATTATTACTTTGTGAAGGAACCCAATACGAATAGGCTACACACTGTACTATTCCTACAAATGGCAGGAAAGGCTACACTATGGAGACAGTAAAATAATCAGTGATTGCACAGGGGTTGGGGACAGGGAGTGATGAACAAGTGGAAAAAAGTGATGTTTAGGGGAGTAAAACTCTTCTGTATCTTACCGTGTAATAATTCATTTAGGTATAAAAATTCTCTACAGATTTTACCCACTTTGAGACATGTAAAAAATGAACTTTAGGGCTGGGGATTTAGCTCAGTGGTTTCACTGCCTGCTGCGCAAGTGCAAGGACCCGAGTTCGATCACCAGTAGCAAAAAAAAAGAGCTTTGCAGGAGTCCAAACTTACTAGTTGTACTGTGTGATGGATTCTATATTCATCTTCACTCCGAAAACGCTGCTGGAATTTTTCATTGTGTTTTGCAATACAGATTTCCTATAAATACAAAAAGTATGTTTTAATACAAGTGAAAGTTAAAAAGATCACTCCAAAATTTATTTGATAAATGTGTAGGTGACCTTAAGATGTACCTACACAGCAAAGTACCAAGTAAAATCCACCTGCTATTTCTCATCAGAACTGTTGCAGAAGTATAAACCAAATAACCAGGGTCTTACAAAAGACTTTTCTATGAAACTATTAATTTCTCTGGATCTCCTACTGCCTCTTTCAGAGAAGGAGGCATGTGGTCAAGTGGAGGGGAAGTTTTTAGATAATCTCAAAAGTCTCTGCTTCAGCTATGAAGTCTGGCCAGAAGATTCTGGTCTCACACATATTCTTTAAATAAATCTAGGCAAAGAAGAATATACAACTGTTGACATAGTCTGTATTCTTGAGTCCTCGCCAATGAATTAAAAATCATGATTTTGTCTAAACTAATATAAACAATATCATACAATTTCAATATTCTGGTCATAATTATCAGCATCAGCGCTAAGAGACTGCTAAAGACTACTAAAAAGTCAGAATTATTTTACAACTTTATTTAAAAATTATCCCAAATTTATGTATATCCTAATCACCTTATAAGAGATCTTTGCTAGAAGTCACAGGGTACCACTTCGAGTGATTATGATGAATGAGGACACACTGATTTTTTTTTATGAGCCTGCCTTTCTACTGGATGGCACAGAGCAGCAACAGTTATGTGCTTCTTAATAAAATAATCTATACTTTGATTAGCAACCTTTTGCAACACCAAACAATCTTAATTTACCCTATATTCTTTATGTAACTATTCTTACTTTTTTATTTTTGGTACCAGGGATCGAACTCAGGGCCTTGCACTCTTGAAGAAGGTGCCGGAACCACTGAGCTAAATCCTCAGCCCTATGTAACTATTCCTTTTTTTTGGTACCGGGGATCAAACTCAGGTCCTTGCGCTTGCGCAGCAGGAGGTGAAACCACTGAGCTAAATCCCCAGCCCTATGTAACTATTCTTAAGAGAAGTCTTCTAGGTAAGAGTTTAAGGAATGATCAAAATATAGAGTGGATATTTAAATTTTTAAAACTTATTGCAGTAGGGCCGGGGATTTAGCTCAGTGGCACTGCGGCTGCCTCACAAGCACAAGGTCCTAAATTCAATCCCTGGTACCACTCCCCCCCCAATTATTACAGTAAAAGACACCTTGCCATTAATTGCCCTCAACCCCCCGCCATGTGAACACACTTATCCCATTATTCTTGCCACTTTCTGAAGTTCATTCTTTATACAAAGAATGATAAAAAATGTGGGGAATGCTGCTGGTCTGTGGCATCCAATGGAAAGGCAGCTTCATAAAAACATTACCGTGTGTCCTCATCTACCTTATTCACAGGATGTGGGCACCCTGCAACTTCTAGCTCTTCTCAAGTCAAAATGACCATGAGTCAGAACACAAGAGAGCTATGACACTGCAAGTAAAGACTCTCAGGAAAGAGAACTTCTAGAACTGCTGCAGAAAGTGGCAAGACAGGCCGGCCTTCCAAGTTGCAAGGTTGCCAGTTCAATCGCTAAATCCCTGGCCCAATAAAGATTTTTTTAAAGGACAGTGTCTTGCTAGGTAGGTCAGGCTGATCTTGAACTCATTCTGGGACCGAGGCTAGCCTCTTAATTTGCAATGTTCATGCCTCAGTCCCATGGGTAATGGCAGTAAACTGTATTTGAAAGCAAATGTTTACGTCATTTTCTTCACCCACTGTCATACGTTCCTGCCCAACAAGATTCTGTCCAGTATATTTAGAAAACAAAGACACCATTATATAATGTAATGATATAATGATAGACTTACATAGCACCCTACACTTCTGCCCCATCCTGGCAGCTTATCCTTGAGTGGTTTAACTACTAGAAGCCTTGGTTTCCTTGCTTAGAAAATGAAGATATGGTCTGGAGGTTTAGCTCAGTGGTACCAGCACCTGCCTGGCAAGCACAAGGTCCTGAGTTCAATCCCCAGTTCCAGAAAAAAAAAAAAAAAGAAGCTATGAATCTACCACCCATTACATAGGACAGAGGTTAATTTTTTTTTTTAAGACAAGGTCTTGCTATGTAGTTCAGGCTAGCTTTGAACTCAACGTGTAGCCCAGGCTGGCCTTGAACTCAAGGCAAACCTCGTGCAACTTAGCCTCCTGAATGCTGGGACTACAGGTGTGTGTCACCAGAGCCAGTGTCAGGTGTGTCCTAAAATTCTTATTTTTTTGTATTTCAGAATGGTGGAATGTTGCACATACCATATATTACCTAATAACCTGGGCAAGAGCGGAAGCAGAATCCCATGAGACACTATTTTTGCAGTGAGATGTACAAATATACAAAGTAAGTGAGATTAAAACAATGAATAACTTTGTGTCAGTTCAGGTCTGGTTTCTGCCACCAATAAAGTATGAAAACACTGCTGATGTCCAAGCTTTCTAGATTTCGAGCAAGGGATTATGCCATTTGGCTACTGGAAACATAAAGAGAACACAGAGAAAAGTATTATTTCCATTACTCTTCTTGAAGTACTTTATCACAAAACATGGACTTCAAATCCTCAGGGCACAGCCAAGAGCCAGGATGTAGTTTGCTTATAGGCAGGAACTATACTCTGGAATATGCAAATCCTACTGTGGGTGCTATATAAATCACACAGTCAGCCAGAAACCAATGCCCCCAGGCCCACTAATATGCAGATGAGGTCATACAAGACGGTGTGACCCAGGGAGGCATATTTTAATTTTTTCATCGTATGTTTTATCTTTTCAAAGGTTTCTTTCTTTTTAGAACTTAGTATTTCAGGTTCCCTTCTCTTCAGTCTTATGTTACTCTTCACTCCCTGAAGTATGGCCCTAACACCTCAATGGGCAGGCTTAGGGGGCAAGGTGCAATGTAAAAGGTGTCAGTTCTTCCACCTCAGATTTAGATTAATATAAGAAGGCACAAAGAAGAATACTGATTAGATTGATAACGCACTAATGCACTGCAAAGAGGGAAGAGGAGAGGAGCCAGTTCAGTCAGATTCAGACTCTTGTCTGTCTGTCCTGGTCACCAAAGGTCCCCTTGATCATGTCCCTGTGTGCAGCCAGCTCCCTCTGCTGACATCCTTCCAGGACCCCTGTGACCAAATGTCACAGAAGCCCCACCCCCTTCTTGTCTCCTTTGGTCTCCTCCCTTGAGCACCTGATACTGGTGACCACCCTGCTGCATGGAATCCTTTCTCTACTTCTGTGACTTAACGTTTTCCTGCTTTTTTGAACTCAAATTTCTCTGTCTGAACTGCATCTTTTCTTTTTTACATACTCTCAGATGTTACCCTGGCCTCTTTCCTAAGGGCCTCTTGTCCTCATAAATGTCAGGCCTTGTTCAATCTTTCATAAGTCTGTACAATGTCTTCTTACTCCCCAGCTAAGAATGTTTGCTGATCTTTGCTTTCTGAATTATAAAAATATTAAGTGCAATAACTTGTTTTTTCCTCGAACTGTTTTCTCCTATGCTCTACCACCTTATCCTTGATCTTTTCTATCAGCTTACAATCTCTATCACTGCTAAGAATCAACTACTTAGTACCTGCTTGTGGGACACAATGGCCCAGAGCTCATAACTATCTCCAGGTACCCCAAGACCTCTCATATGCAAGTCTGAAACGTGGTTCATTACCTCTAAGCTCTATGCGTTTTCCACTTCAATCGGTGGCATCACTATTCACACAAATGCCTACTCAGAAGCCTGAGAGCTAATAGAGAACAGCTTCTCCTCTCTCCTTCACCAGAAACCATTAAATCCTACTGCTAGAGCCAGGGATTTAGCTCAGTGGTTCTGTCACCTGCCTCGCAAGCACAAGGTCCTGAGTTCGATTCCTAGTACCAAAAAATAGGTCCTACTGCTAAGTAAGCAAAACATTTTCTATGGTATAGGAAGAATCACATTTCTGCAAATGATCAAGAATTTTGAAATGTGATTCAAGTTAAAAATAAGCAAGTAACAATCTATTAAATTCCTGCAGACTGATGTCGAAACCAAGGCTCACAGAGCACTCATAATTAGCTGCTGATGAACTGCATCACATGGGATCCTGTAGTCAGGTCTTCAGCAGAGCCCACCTCAGGGTTGTTGGAAGTAACAGCACATCATTACTGGTGGTTTGAATGCATGGAAGAGGCCAATCATCAGAGAAATGAACTGAGAAGACAAGGCAATGCTGACTTAGTTTTAAGAACAATATATATATTATGAATATAATATATAGTGAAGTGAAAAGATGAGGCAATGCTGACTCAAGTTTTAAGAATACACAAGTGTTAGTGCAAACACATTAGAATTATTAGACATGGGTCAAGGATTAGACAGTGGATAAGAGCAAGACTTGGATACCTTTTTGTTTCTGAGGTAGGCTTTCTTAGCTGAGACGCGGCCTCGCCTGGCTTCCAGCTGACGTGCCTTCTGCTGCAGTTTCTGCAGCTCTTCCCTCTGTGCATGCATGGACGCTGCCATCTCCTCCTTCTCCAACATGGCTTCCATGCTCTCGTAAGTGTCGTAGTATACCACCTCATTTCTCTTTTCTGTTACAGAACAGCAACAGAGAGAGGGTCCTGGTTAGAGGATGGGCTCTGGAGCCAGACAGAGCAGGGATGGAGTCACTGACTAGCTCTGTGCCTCAGGCAAAGCCAACCTCTCTGGAGCTCCTCTGTAAAGTGGTCATTGTACGAAAATGCGCCTCACAGGCTGCATGTGTGCAGGGTGTGTACAGCAGTGCCTGGCACACAGATTTAAGACCTTACTTCCCTTGCTCATTCCACTGCTATAAAATTCAGAATTGTTGAAAATTCAGAAGCTGGCCAAAGTAGCCCTTAAAAAATAATTATAACTGTGCTCCTGAGTCTATTAAACCACTTGGTTGACTTCAAGGGCTCCTTTAAAGCATTTCTTTTAGGTTTAGACTTTTTTAGGTTTTAAAAAGAAACACAGCTGAAGTCTGTGTGTCTTTCTGCCTTGTCTTCAATCTCCTGTGGGTCTATGTGGTTATGTAGACCATGTACCTGATATAAGTCTTTTGATGCTTTCCAGCTGTGCTGTCAATAGTAACTCTTCACACTTCAAGATTTCAAACTGGACTTCATATAACTGAAGTTGTAGATCGTAATAATCAGCTTCTAACTGATCCAGTCGAGCTATGGCTTCTGTGCCACCTTGCAAACTCTGCATCTATATTGAAAATAAAAAAATTTCCAGTTGGTGGAAACAAGAAAAAAATGAAGGCATGATTAGAAACTAACACTAATCAGACAGGATAAATCTATGAAGCAATAGCTCTAAGAAAGAGACTTGTCAGCAGGAGATCCAGATTTCTGAGCTGATTGTGGTGGTGTGTCTGTACCCCCAGCTACTCAGGAGGCTCAGGCAAGAGGATCACTGAACCCAGAAGATTAAAGTCAGCCTGGGGGCTGGGGATTTTAGCTCAGTGGGTTCCACTGCCTACCTCACAAGTGCAAGGTCCTGAGTTCAATCCCCAGTACCAAAAAATAAAAATAAAGTCAGCCTGGCCAACATAGCAATAGCAAGACCTTTATCTCAGAAAAAGAAAAAAACCCAAACTTTTAATAAATATAAAGCCATTTGGGCTGGGGATTTAGCTCAGTGGCACTAAGGTTCGATCCCCAGTACCAAATAAATAAACAGCCATCAATAAATCATATCATATTATGGTTTCAGAAGAACACAAATATTGTAAACTATAAGGTCTTAAATATTTGTATCACAACTCATTCATATTTAGAGTGACAGTATATTTTTATTGTCCTGACATAAATATCAATAATGTTCCTTCTCAATGTCAAAAGGGGATGCTAAGTTATGCATTTATCCTTTTCATATAAGACACACAGAAAAGACTGAGCCATATTTAGTCATTGATAGCAGAGTGGGCAAAGCTGATTCATCCACACACCTGGGACTTTCATCCCAGGAAAAAGGTCAGTCTGCCTTCTGGGATCTGCTGACTAGAAGTGAAAGCGTGTGGTAGAGCCCATAAAATATGTAAATACTTTGGATGGAAAAAAAACCCTTCTAATCTCTCAATGATGACCACTATCATCTTTAATTATGTGCAGTTAGGGGCCTAGGTTAACCCTAAAGTGGGGTTCAGAAATTTCTGGGCATGCTCAAGAAGCAGTACGTGGTCTTCCGTAAAGCTTTTGGCCCTGAAGAGGGGAATTTTTGTTGCCAAGCATCTGCAACAAACCACTAAGGAAATTTTATGCTTCTTAGATTGGTTCCTAGTCCTGGTATTTCTATGGATTCCTATTTATCCCCATACAGAAGGCAGCTGCAAGCAGCAGCTGAAAGGCAGGTTCTTTAAGACTGGGAGATGTGAGATCCACCAGATTTCTGGTGGAGGGGATAAGGACTCTTCATAGGTCATTTTCTCAGAATTCTGCAGTACTATTTAGGCAGCTTATAGGTTCATTCTTGGAAGCCCCTGGGAGCCTCTGGCACAGGCAACAGCATGCCCTAGCGGTCCTGAGAGCATTGGTGAGGAGGTTCTGGCCTCAAGTGGCTTCACTGTGAGTGACTACTAAAAGCAAACAGGAAGGAAGGAAAATTGGAGAAATGTTTATAAGCTGTATGAAGCATCACCTGGGGACCACAACACCAGGGAGAGAGGTACATGACTGGTACAGGTCTCTTTCTTCTATTTTTTCTCTTGAGATGAAGTCTTGCTAAGTTGCTCAGGATGGCAAATTTGCCCTCTTTCTCCTTCAGTTTTCTAGAGTGCTGGGATTACAGGGATGTGCCGACACAGTTTTACAATCTATACTACCTATACAGAGTTACCCAGTGACTAGAAAGAATGAATGAATGTATGTATATGTATGCATGCATGTATATGTCTGTTTATATAGGGTCTTACTATATAGCCCAGACTGGCCTTGTACTTGCAATTCTTAGATTAATAGATGTTCACCACTATATGCCAGGCTGAATATGTTTTCTTTTTTTTTTCTGGTATCGGGGATCGAACTCAGGTCCTTGGGCTTGTGCAGCAGGCAGCGAAACCACTGAGCTAAATCCCTGGCCCAAGGCTGAATATGTTTTCTTAACATGTAATTTCAAGTTTCTTTACCAAGAATTCTTAGTGAAAAGCAGTAGTTAGGCTCTGGTCTAAATGTGCAAGGGTTTGCACATTTAAATTTAAAAATAACAAGAAGAATTAAATATAGTTAAATCTGTTTCTTAGGTCTTATAAATAAATACTCAATACATAATCTAAGTTGTAAGCCAGTGAGTGATCCTGTTTCATGAGGAAATATTTTATAAGTGACAAGCAATAAATAACAAACCCAAAATGAGTTCAGTTACCAGCTAGTGCGAGGAGTGCTGGCAATATAAATCCTCTGCTGTTTGTCCTAAGTAATAAAACAGGAACAGAACAATTGTTTCTGCACGAGACGCCCAGTGTTACATATCCCTTTTCATACATCTGATCAGCCCCAGGATGTATCTTCCCCTGTGCCCACCCATAGGGTGGGTAGCACAGCATACAGACAGGTGAAATACCTAAGGTTAGAAGGTTTTATTCTCTAAGTTAAATAGAACCTTAGTGATAGTCAGTGTAAAGATTTTCATCTAAGATAAGTTTCCTATGGCCATCTCAGGTCTAGGCTGTCAGTTCCATTTTCCCCACACAGGTTCTCTGCGGCTGGCAGTGACCACTTATGCGCCACATTTCCAATGCTGTGTCTTCCCCCTAACACTCTCTCCTGTCCCATCCTCTGGCAGGCAGCCTGAAAAGCCCTGTTTCAACAATCGTCTATACTATTAGCTGCCTCCACTGCAGGACTCTTACCAACCAATGTATCTTAAAACACTTAAGTTAAGAGGCATGCTACTGCCAGTACATAGCCAAATCAAACACCAAGCTGAGAAGGGAAGTAGGTACAGTTCTTCTCTTATAAGCAGTGCCTCAGCACCAATTTTCTGGTTCATTAAGTTCTATCTAAAGCAAGAGTCCAGAGTAGATTTTCCAAAGGATGGATTCTAGGACAAAACCTCATTAGAGGCAGACGGGCAGACTAGAACCCATTAAGTCCAAGAAATGAGAAAATAAACAATGGTGTAGTGCTAGGCCCCGGAAAAAGCTGACAGATTATATAGGTCAGAGTATACATATTTTTATGGGATAATCGAAAAGGAAAGGGACAGCATGAGTCAGGGAAAGTTAGAAGGCCAAAATGGTGCTCTGAAGTTTGTCTGAACTTCCAATGGAGGCCAAATCCTCAGTATGAGGCGGCATGGGTGTCCTGCTCCAAATCTCCCTGAAACACCTGCAATGTCCAGGCTGATTTCTCCTATTCTCAGTTGTTAGGCACAGGACTAAAGCAAAGGGAATCCAGAGTGGAAAGGGAATGAACTTGAGACAGAGGGAAAGGGAATGAACAGCACATAACAGGCAGGTGTCACCATCTTTGTTACTCTTGGGGGCAGAGCTTCCTTAGGCAAGAAGGAAGCCCAGGAAGTAGTTCAAATACTCAAATAAAAACACAGCTACCTTAAAATGTCACACAGATCAACGTTCACCCTCCTAAACAAACATACTTTAGATATCAAGACCCCAAAGCAAACTGTTACTTATTTCCTAATGTGACCTGGGTAAGGAATGAGAAAGCTGGAGCTAGGCACTCTACAAAAGTGCTTCTAACTACATTAAATTAGACAGCACCATTCAAAAATTATGGAAAAAGAAACAAAGGAAAGTGTTTTCAGAGTGATTTGGGGCAGGAAATGAAGAAGCAGTTCACAGCCTCACATTCACAGAGGTACAACACGTATCACTGACCCCACAGTCGTTCTCAACATGCACATGGAAATCAAGATTTGGTCAGTTTTCCCATGGGCTGCCTTTACTATATCCCAAAAATAGGCAGAAAGCAATTTATACAAAGGAATGATACCACCGCTCTACCTTTCACCCTACTGTGCAAAAGATCCCTGACTTAAGAGGAGCTGTGAAAAAGCAGAACCACCTACAGATGAGACATAATTCGGTCAACAAATAGTAAACACCTCCCCCATAGTTTGAGCTACAGAGAAAGTAGACCCTGAAGTGTCTGCTAAGGCAAGCAAACATGTTAAGCAAGGGAAATGTATCTTTCCTTTGTATTCCCCTCATGATACTTACAAAACATTTAAAGAATTAGGGTAATATTAGCTAATATTTAGTTAGTTCTTACTTTATGTCAGGCACTATGTTGATATGGAGCAGAAAGCCAGGGGAAGGTATATGTTTATATTTTCCAGAGAAGTTAAGTAACTCACTTAAGGTTACATAAGGAGTACACTTGCAGAATTGAGATCTACATGCTGTCCTGTTCAATATGGCAGCCACTAGCCACATGTGCATTTAAATTTAAAATGCTGTTCATCTGTTATATAAGCCTCATATCAAGAGCTCATCAGCCACATGTAGCTAGAAACTACCTGCTGGACAGTGTAATATAAGATATTTCTTTTACTGTGGGATGTTCTGATGGACAGCACTGTCTAGATCCTAACTGCCACATCTATAATAAATGCTTAATTCTTGACAAATGGAAATGAAAACATAAGCTTAGTTTAACCTAATTTGGCATGTGCCTTTAGGAGAAATACAGAATTATGAATATAGGTGGTAGCCTCAGCCTCAGGATTGGCATATCATATTCAGCTCAATATGCTAGCAATTTATTGACGTTCACAGACATGAACAAGAAATCACAAAAGGACCAGGAATGGTTAGGATCATTTGTCAGTGAAAGTGCAAGTATATGGATACATTTGAAAAGACTTTCAAAGGTGGAATCCCTTTCCTGATATTCTTAATAATTTTCTGTTAACCAGAAGCAAAAAGTCCACCAACTAATTGAGATGTAACTGTGCTTTCTATGATTTCATGATGGCATCTTAATTTTAGTATCTTCCATTCTGAAGATTTCTTTCCACAAAGAAAATACTTATTTCAAAATCAATCTTTATTTTACTAACACTTCTAATGTATTCTCTCTACTCCTAATAGCGTTTAAAGGTACTTTAATTTTGTCCATGGTTTAAAGTGAAAAACAAAACAAGTATACTATATCACATGTGATGTGGGTTACAGAATGAAAGATTTAGTTGCACAAGTTAAATTCCAATCTTATTTTGAATCTGGATGGGGTGGGGAGTTTAAT